GTAGGGTATTGCTCTGGTGTTTTATGGATCTACTATCCTTCCCTGAGCCCATGGATTTTCAACTGACCACTGATTGTTATCTCTGGAGAATTTTGAAGAACTTGATAGGTGGCTGTTCGCCATCTTACCTTCTCCCGCTTCTACACAGAGATGGAAACTCATATTTATCTCCCAGGACTATAAGAATTGAGATCCTATTGTCCCTTACCTCATCCTCATTCACCTTTCTTCTCGCAGAAAAGCTGCTCTTTGTTTGCAGCTGTTACTGCACAGCACTGAGACACACGCAGCTATTTGCCACTCTGCTGTCATCAGCAACTCATGTCCACCACCCATGTTGGGACCTCACTCAGACCCCTGCCATGCTGACAGCTACTGCTTCCTCTAAGGGCACTACTGATGTCAACTAGGTTTTTGTTTATGGCTCTGCTTTTCTTTTTCCCCATCTTTCCCATCTTCTGTGGTTCTTGGCTTTTGCTCAGGAAAAACTGGTCACTGTAGAACTTGCCAATGAATGGGCTCCATCTTTCTATCCTGTGAACTAATACATCAAAGCCAAATGGGTTTTATCACTGAGTCTTTCTTGGCTGTGTTATTTGAGGCTCAGGCATCTGAGCCTGTTTGGTACATCTATTACGAGAAGAGGAGTTTGTATTGTAATATGTAAGGGACATGAGAATTAGAAGGATTTAGATCTCCCCAGGCTTAGTGTCTAGGAGATTAGAGAGTTGGTTTTTGAATAGGACAAGTTATGATCTACTGTCCCATGTCCATGTCATAGAACAAGGGACATAAAAGTTTAATGGGTTCTGTTTTAAGGGGATTTGTGTAGTGAGTCTCAAACAGCTTTGGAACATGTGAGCCTTTGATATTTCACAGTAGTGTTGTAGAATTATAGTGAGCTTGTGTATTGCAAATTGAGGAATCTTGAAAAAACTTATGATATATCCAGATGGCGCATTAGATTTTATCTTTCAAGTTGTAAATATTCTAAAATGTTAATACCATCTCATTTTTTTGTTTTTCCCCTTTCTTCCTAGAATATTTTCCTTCTTGGATATAGTAACTTTGTGCCGATGTGCACAGATTTCCAAGGTAGAGTATTAACCAGATTTTTATCAATCAATAAATATTGAGTTTTATTAGAATGAGAACGAGTTTTAGTTCAAGCAAGAAGTTAACTTTTTTTAATTTAATTTTTTTAAGAAAGCATGCATGCGCGTGCGTGTGCAAGTGGGGGGAGGGGCAACGGGAGAGGGAGAGGGTGAGACTCTTAAGCAGGCTCCATACCTAGTGCAGAGCCAACTCGGGGCTCAATCCCAGGATCCCAAGATCATGACCTGAGCCAAGATCAAGAGTTGGATGCTTAGCCAACTGAGCCACCCAAGCGCCCCAAGCAGTTAACTTTAAATGTCATCTTTTACATTTAATATAACATGGTGTTATCATAATTCCATATTTGATTATCCACTTAATGTATATCAAGAATAAAAGTTTGGAAATACAAAGGTTGAATCAGGACTTCCATTAACAGTCTCACTTAGTGTATCTCTTTCACCCCATCTCTCCTCCTCTACCTCCCACCCCCTAGGCTTGGAACATCCTAGCCCTGGATGGAAGCAACTGGCAAAGAATAGACCTTTTTAACTTTCAAACAGATGTAGAGGTAAGTTAGCTTTATTTTAGATAAAAGACTTTTTTTTTCTTTTAAAGATTTTATGTATTTATTTGACAGAGATACAGCAAGAGAGGGAACACAAGTGGAGGGCGGTGGGAGAGGGAGAAGCAGGCTCCCCACTGAGCAGGGAGCCTGACGTGGGGCTCGATCCCAGGACCCTGGGATCATGACCTGAGCCGAAGGCAGACGCTTAAACCAACTGAGCCACCCAGGTACCCTTAGATAAAAGACTATTTAAAAAGATAAGTAAACTGGTCACTCTTTCCTGCCCTTTTCTTTTGCTGCATTTAGATTTAATATTAAGATGTCAAGGTGTAATAAAGAAGAAAAAAAGATATCTATGTACATCAAGACCAAAATTCTGCTTGTATTTTGCTTTGGCTCTGTATCAATAGCAAACTACTTTTCCTCCTTGTTCATGTCTATAACCTTGGTATTACCACTCAGCTTTTTAAAGCCTTATACTTGCATTATTAACACCCAGTTCAGTGCTTTAATCTTAGGAGACTCCTGACAAATATTTATTGATCTGAAAGATCCACTGAGAATTCTAATTCAGCATCTAGAATGGAGAAATGGCAGAAACAGGGGTTCAGGAGTGAAGCTGGAGACCTGAGATATCACTGCAGCTCAGCCACTTAAGCCATATAATCTCTCAATGCTTCAGTTTTATTATCTATAAAATAAAGAAGCAAAATAATCCTTAAAACCTTTTATAATTCTAGGATTCTCATGTATTTATCTGGAAATATGTGAATATCCCCATGTAAGAGTGGTAAGCCTGACCAAATGAGAAAAGTTTATTTTTCTTAATTTTTTTTTTTTTTAAGATTTTTATTTATTTGACAGAGAGAGACACAGCGAGAGAGGGAACACAAGCAGGGGGAGTGGGAGAGGGAGAAGCAGGCTTCCTGCCGAGCAGGGAACCCGATGCGGGGCTCGATCCCAGGACCCTGGGATCACGACCTGAGCCGAAGGCAGACGCTTAACGACTGAGCCACCCAGGCGCCCCGAGAAAAGTTTATTTTAAAACAACTTTTAGATTAAATACAATTTATAACCAAAAAGAAAGAGGGAAGTAATATTCACTGCACATAATAATTATCTAGACTACTCTTTTAAGGATGTGGAGATTCTGAAGTTTATCTACGCAATGTTGGGAAAACCTTATTCATTTCTAGTTTAGCCAATTCAGTTGTAGTCATGGAGTTGTATTTTAATTCAGTTCCTCATATAGCATTTTCATCAAGTGTTTTTGACAAAGTGTATGTTTTGTGCCTTTTTTAATGGATAAGGAAATAATCATGCTTAACAGTGAGATGAGCCCACACAGTTTCCTATGAGTTACTGAACCTGGTGTTCCCTAGAAGAGCTAGCAATCAGTTGTGACGGCCCTTCCCCTACTTCTCTAGGTTACCAGCTGGAGAGACTCTGATCCCATCCCAGACCGGTGGAGCAGAGCACCTGCAGCAAGTGGGGCCGAGCACAGGGTTTCCCACTGTGGGTTTCCTTGCATGTTGTGGTGTTCTGAGTTTGGAAGGGTCGGGGACCTCAGGGCTTCATGCCCAGCCTGGAAAGATAAGCTCTCAGTTGCTGTTTTGGACTGTGGTCCCTGGATTAGGAGTTCTTTAATGCCCTTTCCAGACTTAATAGCAGTGATTGTAGCAATGTCCACCCAAACATGCTGACATGTGATTCCTCTTCAAACTGATAATCTCTAGATCTTTGTTCATTGTGTTTACTTAGTGATGTTGAGAAGCACATTAAATTCCAAAAATTGTAGTCATTTCTGCTCACCAAAGGAGAGTCATTGTTTTTTAAAATTTTTGCAAATTTTTCTTTTTTTGTGGCTCTTATTGTCCCCTCAGTTTTCTTTGATGATTTTTCCAAACTATACAACTTTTTGAAAGGCATATTTAAAACTTTTAGATTCAGATTTTTAAAAATACTGTTTCAAGTAAATAGCACTACCTTGTGCATTATTTGATTTCAGAATTTTAGCTGATGGCTGACCGCAGCTATATAAACACATTGTAGAAATTCTTAAGAGTACTTCCACTAAAGGAAAGACTAGTTTATGGGTCACCAGTTATGTAAAGAATTACATGTGAAAACTTTTTTCTTTTTTTTTTTTTAAGATTTTATTTATTTATTTGAGAGAGAGTGAGAGCAAGAGAGAGAGAGAGAGCGCGAGGGGGGTGAAGGGCAGAGGGAGAAGCAGACTCCCTGTGGATCAGGGAGCCCGATGCGGGACTTGATTCCAGGACCCCGGGATCATGACCTGAGCCAAAGGCAGATGCTTAACCGACTGAGCCCCCCAGGTGCCCCTACATGTGAAAACTTAAAATAGCTGGCACCATATTAGTATTAGTCTAGTCTAATACTATTTGGTTGCCCTTTTGGGGCTAACAATCCAGATTGGATTATGAACCAAGTGTTGAAGCCCCCTGTGTTGTCTAAATAGGACCCATTGGATACTCACCCTGGGAAGCATTCCATGGATAAACTGATCATCTCAAGTTATTTCTTTGGGATGAAAATGATTTATGGATATGTTGAGAGAGGAGAGAATGTACCAAGGTTCAGGATTAATATACTAACAGTATTTACTATGTGCCTGGTACTATTTAAGTAACTTTACATATATTCATTTAATCTTCTCAAAAACACCATATTGAAGAAACTGAGGCACAAAAAGTTTGAGTAACTTACCTGAGGTCATTCATCTAGTAAGAGGAGACAGTAGGTACCCTGAACACAATGGGTTATGTAACTGTTGTGTTTCAGAGAAAAGGTAAAATAAAGTAACCAGATGACAAGAGTACATTGTGCCTTTCCGTGAGCATCACTCTTTCCTGAATAAGTGTTGTTACCCTGATGTTTAGGCATTCTCCATGCCTTTAAAAGTTGAGCATTTTTGTCAATGTCTTCATAGTTAATAAAGATTCCTCCAGGCCAAGAATAAGAAATAACCAAGTAGCATGTTAATCTAAAAGTTACAACTCCAAAGGTCTCTCCATTTAGGCCTTATTTTTCTCTAAAGCCTTTCATTCCAAAATCCACACCTACAACATACTATCTAAGTGGATAATATACAGTCATTGACTTGAATTTTGCATTTGGAAACAATTTGCTAATTTTTTCTCTTAGAAACAGTGGAACAGTTTTCTCTTGGAAACAGTGGAACAGAAAATTCTGAATGTAATTTTTTTAATCTGAGTACAAAAACTTTTACTCCAAAGAAAGGAAGAATAGAAAGCTTATATCAATGTGACTAACTTGAAATGGAGAAAAATATCTTGTGTACTCTATTTGGAGACATTGATATGGAGGGGTTTTCACTGTTTTATTCTGCACTTGGACTTCCAAGTCATAATATTTTTTTCCCTCTAGTGACAGAGATTTATTAACTTAGAGAATACTCAAGAAAGCATAAATAAAGCTATTAGCAATATCAGAGTGTAGATTTTCATCTTAAGATGTTAGCCAGGTAACAGTACAGGTGAGCCCTGCTCCTGTGAACCTGTTGTTTGATGTGTCCTAGTGAATTCTTAGTGCTCACAGTTCAGTGTCAAGGGTGCTATTTTATGAAGTGAGGATAATAGCATTTTTTTTAAAGACCCAAATGGCTTCCTTTCAGTACTTCCTTCCTTGTGGAGGCAGTGGTTGTGCAGCCTTTAGAATCAAATAAATCTCTTAGAACCCTAACTCTACTCCTCACTAAAGTGTAACCTTGGCAATTTAACCATTTAATTTCTTTATTTGCAAAATGAAGGTATGAATCCAGTCTGTTAATAGTCAGGATTCTCCAGAGAAACAATAGGGTATGTATGTATACAAATATATGGATTTATTATAAGGAATTGGGTAATGTGATTATGGAGACGGAGAAGTCCTAAGATGCTGGAGACCCAGGAGAGCTGATATGTAGTTCCAGTCTAACCTGTGAACCAGCAGAGCCCATGGGGTAAATTCCAGTCTGAAAGCTGACAGGGTCCAGACCTAAGACGAGCTGATGTTTTTCAGCCCCAGTCCAAAGGCTGGAAAGGACCAGTGTCTCAGCTCAAGCAGTCATGCAGGGCGAGTTCCCTCTTACTCAGCTTTTTTCATTCTATTCAGGTCTTCAATTGATTGGATGAGGCCCTCCCACTGCTACTTTACTCTCTCCACCGATTCAAATGGTAATCTTATCCAAAAATACCCTCACAGACTCATACAGAATACTGTTGGGCCAAATGTTTGCACACCCTGTGGCCCAGTCAAGTTGACACATAAGATTAATTGTCAAAAGTCACCCCTTGTCAACTTGGCACCCATATGCATCACCTTAAGTCATACTTAATCTCCAAATAAAAACAATGACAAGGTCTTAATTCGACCTAATGTGGTAACAAGTATACAGTGCACAACCAAAACCACACTAACTCCTTCCTCAAAAGAAGAGATAAAGTCCTTGAGTGGTGTTCACTTTTCTTGATATCCTGTATCTTAAATACTATGATATAGAATTAACAATACTTAAATACCATGATACGGTGTCAGCACATCTTATTTTACATAAGGGAACAGAAGAGGAAAGAAAACAAATATATTGGCTTTACCCACACACATACTCTAACAAAATAAGGAGAGACATTCATGACAATTACAGTTTTCATTTCTGTAATTGGTTGCATGGTGGTAGTTGATATTTTTAACTACCTTCTATACCCATTCTGTGTTCCCTTTATCTTCAGCAAGCACCTCAGCTGGTCATGGTTCTTTACCTGGTAGAGTAATCGTTATTCCTGAAGTGTATGGGCCATTGGAAGTCGTGCCTGGATTGACTTGTAGTTTTCCATTGACTTAATCACAGGGCATGGTAATGTTAAGAGAGATGACCTGAGAGATTTGTATTCCAGACATACTCTTCATGGTCTCCATTGTGGAGTAGTAGACCATGAGGTTGTTGTGAATAGTAAATGAGCCATAATAAGTACAAGAAAGTGTTAAAATCGTTCCTGAAAAAGTGAAAGTGCTTAATCACTGTTCATTTTTTTCCCTTTAATGAATCTGCCGGTATCTAGCCCAAGTTCCTATCTCAAAGCAAATGTGTTTCAATAGGGGATTTCTAAGGAGGATGAGGGGGAGCTTTTATGATACATTTTGAAACGTTAGAGTGGTAATGTTTAGCTAAAATAGAATTTTTTTTTTTTTTTTGGAGCAGTGTGGTTTGAGAGTGCCGCTCAGCAGCCAGTGTTCCCACAGCTGACCTCAAAGAGCCTTGTAATTGGCGAGGTAGCTCTGAGCCCTGGGTACGGGAGGCCTACCTCCAGGGCTAAAACTTCCAAAATATAGTGCACTAATTTTTTTTTGAATACTTAATGCTTTAATTGAAAACATTTTTCAATGCTTGCAGCTCCTTTAGGAACAGAGTGGGGTGTTGGAGGAATGCTCCAAAATAACTTCTTTTACACCTGGAAAAATATATTCAGTTTCTAAAATTTCAGGTTATTATGCTGTTAGATAAGCAGCATGAAAAATGAGATTTTTTTCTGACTTTTTGACTCAAGGGTCGAGTGGTGGAAAATATCTCAAAGCGATGTGGTGGATTCCTGAGAAAGCTCAGCTTGCGAGGCTGCATTGGTGTTGGGGATTCCTCCTTGAAGTAAGTTGAATCCACAGTGACTCACTCTGTAATGGCAGCTTATAGCTGACTTGTCATCGGCAAAAATAAACCAAGCATATTATGTGCTTTTTTTCTGTTAAATTCTTTCTGTGGTAATTTGCGTAGAGAACTAAAAGAACCATGACTTGGGAGTCAGCAGGCCTGGGTCTGGGATATGTCTTTCGGACAAATTATTTCACCTCTCCGAGTGTCCGCTCTCTCTTCTACAAAGAGAAGGCAGCTGTAGTTCCTGCATGAGAATGTCATGAGTATCACATGAAGCAACATGTATGAAGTGCCTGGTGCATAATAATAGTTGACTCTGCTGTTCCCTTCTTCATTTGCTGATATTCCTAGTTTCATTCTCATAAGAGTGACTACCTTTTTTGTATATTATACTACCTAACAAAATAATTCTTCCAAAAACTTCCTTAGCACACCTGGGATTTTGCTTACTCATGATGGGATGTAATTATCTAATTGTATCCTATCCAAACAAATGCTTGCCCACCTCTTATTGGCTAGCCATTATTTATTGGAAATGTTATCAATCCACTGTAAGGACACGTGCTTTTCTGGAGACAAGACATAATTAAACTTTTATGTTCTTATCCTTATGGCCTCTACTATTGTTTGAGGTTGGCTAAATTAGAACACACACTGCCCCCTAGAACCTTGGGATAGACTTTGTCTCTTGCAGACCTAAGCATCACTACCATGTATATCAATTGCAGTTGCCAGTAAGAATGTGCAGTGCATAGTGATTATAGATAGTGGAGTTGGTAATTGAAACATCTGCTGTACCATTGCTTAGAAAATTGATTCATAACATATTTTAAGGATCAAAACACTGCCTATAAATGTTAAGGAACAAAATTTTTTTTTTTTTTAATCAAGAAATTCAGATCATCAGACCAAATTTTCTGGTACTTTAAAAGCTTTGTAAACTGATGGAATAGATTGATTCTATTTTAATACAAAGCTTAAATGTACCAAATAGGTCCTAAGATAATTTATAAAAGAGAACATAAGTTTAATAGTGGTTCCATTAAACTAAAATAAATGTGAAGATGTGGATTGTCAATGAGGAATATCAAAGAAATATATTCTCATTTCACTTAGCATAATACCTCCGGTTCCATCCATGTCAGTGTAAATGGTAGGTATTCATCCTCTCTGGTGGCCGAGTAATATTCCATTGTATATATAAACCACATCTTCTTTATGTTGGCTAATTGAATTAAAAATATATATATATTCTTATCTTGGCAGTTGGAATAAAGCCATATATACTAGCAAAACTATCCTGAGAGGCTAAGAATGTTAGTGGTGTACCATAATTTTTATAGTAGAAATCTATATTAATATCTTGTACACTTTTTTTTTTTTTAGAGGATGCACATGCAAGAGAGCCGGGGGGGGGGTGGCAGAGGGAGAGGGAGGGAGAGAGAATCTTAGGCAGGCTCCACCCTCAGCAGTGCAGAGCCCCATGCGGGGCCCAATCTCACAACCCAGAGATCATGACCTGAACAGAAGGCAGATGCTTAACCGACTGAGCCACCCAGGCGCCCCATTATCTTATACATTTTTGGTGTGTGAGACCAGATTACTGTGAGAAATAATGATAAGCATAATTCCAGAATACAACTCAGACAGAATTTTGTTATGCCTCCAGTTTTTTATCATAATCACCTGAAGCCAGCCTTGGCCTCTACTCTGTCCCACGTATTGTTGTTGTTTTAGATGGAGGGAGGCTATTCATTTGCAAATGTTTATTGAGCCCTACTCCACCAGGCACTGATCTAGGGACTGGAAATACAGCAGTAATCAAAATAGATTAAAATTCCAATACTAATGAATCTTACATGTATATTCTCTGTAACTCCTGCTGCATCATAATATATGAAGTCCTATGGATTTTTAACAGTTTTATTGAGATATAATTGAGATACAATAAACTGTATTTAAAGTATACAATTTGATAATTTTTGAAATATGTATTATACCCATAAAACCAACACTATAATCAAGATAATGAACATACACATGTAAAAGTTTCCTCATGTGCCTTTATAATCCCTCCCTTCCTCCTTCCCTGTCTCTGTCCCATTGCTAAGCAACCACTGATCTAGGTTAGTTTAAATTTTTAACAATTTTTATGTAATTATACAGCATATAGTCGTTTTTTCCTGGCATCTGTCACTCAACATAATTGTTTTGGGATCCATCCATGTTGTTGTGTGTATCAATAGTTCATTCTTTTTTAATGCTGAATAGTAGTCCATTGTATGGATATACTACAGTTTATTCATTTCTCATTTGGATTCTTTCCAGTTTGCAGCCATTACATATAAAGCTGCTATGAATATTTGTGTACAAGGTTTTGTGTGTCATATGTTTTCATTTCTCTGGAGTAAATACCTAGGAGTAGAATGGCTAGATCATTTGGTAGGTGCGTGTTTAACTTTTTAAAAACTTTCAAACTCTTTCCCCAAAGGATTATACCATTTTATATTCCCACTAGAAGTGTATGGTACTTCCAGCTCCTTCACATCCTTGTCAACACTTGGTAGGTTTTATTTAAAATATTTATTTATTTGACAGAGAGAGAGAGCAAGAGAGGGGACACAAGCAGGGGGAGTGGGAGAGGGAGAAGCAGGCTTCCCGCTGAGCAGGGAGCCCGATGCGGGGCTCGATCCCAGGACCCTGGGATCATGACCTGAACCAAAGGCCGATGTTTAACGGCTGAGCCACCCAGGCGCCCCAATTTTAGCTTTTCTAATAGATGTGTATAGTAGTATCTCATTGAGGTTTTAATTTGTATTTCTAATGACTAATGCTGTTGAACATCATTTTATGTACTTTTCCTATACACATATTTTCTTTGCTGAAATATCTGTTCAAATATGGGGGTTTTGCCCTTTTTTAAAAATTAGATTTTTTGTCTTATCTTTGAGTTTTGAGAGTTATATTCTGCATACAAGTCCTTGATGAGATTTGTGTTTTGTAAATGTTTTCTCCCAGTCTGTGGCTTATCCTTTTATTCTCTTAACAGTCTTTTGAAGAGTTTTTCATTTTAATGAAATTGAACTTACCAGTTTTTTTGAATGAATCACGCTTTTGGTGAATCATACTTTTGGTGATATACGAGATCTTTGCCTAACCCAAGGTCATAAAGATTTTCCCCTGAAGTACTGATTTAGTAGGATTTCACAAATTCTAATTCTGTGTTTACATTTTTGTTCCATTAAAAATGTATTCTCTTTCCCTTTTGATTTCTTCCTTGACCCATGGGTTATTTAGAAGCATGTTATTTAGTCTATAAATATTTGGACATTTTCCAGGTTTTTTGTTGTTGTTTATTGATTACTAATTTAATTCCATTGTGATCAGTGAATATACTTTATATGACTTGAATCCTTTTAATTTTATTAAAACTTGTTTTGTAGCCAAGAATATGGTCTGTCACGGTAAATGTTCATGTGCACTTGAAAAGAATATGTACTCGGGCGCCTGGGTGGCTCAGTTGGTTAAGCGACTGCCTTCGGCTCAGGTCATGATCCTGGAGTCCCTGGATCGAGTCCCGCATCGGGCTTCCTGCTCGGCAGGTGCTCCCTCTGACCCTCCCCTCTCTCATGTGCTCTCTCTCATTCTCTCTCTCTCAAATAAATAAATAAAATCTTTAAAAAAAAAAGAAAAGAATATGTACTCTACTGTTGGGTGGAGTATTATATAAATATCAATTAAAGTTGAATTAAGACTGTTGATCAAGTCTTTTATATCTTCACTGATTTTCTGACTTCTTGTTTGATCAAATATTGACAGAATTATACTGAAATCTCTGCCTGTAATTTCAGATTTGTTTCTCCTCAGGTTATTTCTTCATGTATTTTGAAGTTCTGTTATTAGATATATAGACTTGTAGGGTTGCTGCACCTTTATGATGAATTGACCAGTTTTTCATCATCACATGGCCTTCTTTTATCTCTGGTAATATTCTTTGATGTGAGGTCTACTTTGATATTATATAGATATGCCAGCTTTCCTTTTTTTGGCATATGATTTTCGATTCTTTTAGTTTTCACCGATTTGTGTCTTTATATTTAAAGTTGTTTTATTTTAGGAAATATATGGTTGGATGTTGCTTTTTTTGATCCATTATTACAGTTTCTGCTTTTTGATTTTTGTATTTAGATCATTTACATTTTGTGTGAGAATTGATGTTATGATTAGTTTTAAATTTACTCTCTTGCTGTTTTCTATTTGTCCCAGACATATTTTCTTCCCCTTTCCTCTTTTTCTGCCTTCTTTTGTATTGAGAATTTTTTTATGATTCCATTTTATATATCCCTTTTAGGATTAGAGCTATAAGTTATTTTTTTGTAATTTTAATGGTTGCCTTAGAGTTTTTATAATGTAATGTACATCTTTAACTTGTTATAGTCTACCTTCAAATTGTATTACAGATCACTTCCATTTTTCCCCACTCAGCCTTTATGCTATTATTGTTACACATTTTAATTCTACATATAGTACAAACTACTCCACACTAGATTGTTAGTATTTTTTAATAGTCAATTATTTTTTAAGAGATTTAAATAACTAAAAAAGTGAATATATGTACCCAAGTGGTTACTGTTTCCAGTATTCATTCCTTTGTGTAGTCACTCTTTTTTCTACCTATAGAATGGTCCTTAACATTTCTTGTACTGCAGATCTGATTAATTCTTTCAGCTCTTCTGTGTCTGCAAAAAAAAAAAAAAGTTATTTTTCCTTAATTTTTGAAAAAATATTTTTGCTCAGTATACAATTTTGTTGACAGTTGTTTCAGTATTTTAAAGATGCTTCTCCTCTGTTTTCTTGCTTTTTTTGTTACCAGTGAGAAATCTGTCAACCTTATTTTTCTTTCTCTGTACATAGTGTGTCTTTTTCTCTGGCTGCTTTTAAGATTTTTCTGTCATTGGTTTTGACCAATTTGGTTATGATATGCCTTGATGTATTTTTCTTCATATTTCTCATGCTTGGAATTCTTTGAGTTTTTTGGATTTGTAGGTTTATAGTTTTCATAAACTTTGGAAAAATTTTGGCCATTGCTTCTTCAGATATTCTACCCCATCCCAACCCCTGCCCAATCTCCTGTCCCTTGGGGACTCCCAGTCACATGTATATTAGATTGCTTGAATCTGTCCCACAGCTCATTTATGCTCTGTTCTTTTTTTTTTTCTTCTTATTTTCTTTCCATGTTTCATTTTGGATAGTTTCTATTGCTATGTCTTCAAGTTCACCAATCTCTTCTTGATAAAATGTCTAATCTGCTGTTAGTCCCATCCAGAAAATTTTTATCTTAGCCATTTTCCAAAAGTTTAATTTGGGTCTTTAAAAATAACTCTAATGTCTCTACATAACACATTTAATAAACAAAACATGTGTAATCTTTATGTAGCTCCATAGGACTATATTCTACAGAACACAGTTATAATAACTTTTAATGTCTTAGTCTACTATTTCTAATATTTGCAACAGTTTTGGGTCAGCTTTGATTGATTTTTCTCCTCATAATGGATATATTTTCCTTCTTTGAATACATGCCAATTTTTTGCTCAATGCCAGACATTGTGAATTTTATTTTGGATGCAGAATATTTTTGTATTCCTATAAATATTCTTGAGTTTTATTCTGGACACAGTTATTTGGACATAATTCCTTTCAAATCTTTTTCTTTTTTTAATTTGTTAAGTTGGACCAAAGCCATGTTTAGTTGAGCACTAATTGTACACCTGAAGCAAAGTACTTCTCAGTGCTCTACCCAGTGCCCCACAAATTGAGACGTTTTTCACTGTTGGTTTATGGAATGGGCACTTTCCTGGCTCTGGGTGAGCTCTGGCTATTGTTCCTTCTAATGCTTTTTGATGATTCTTTCCCTGGCTTTGGGTAGTTTCCCTATATGCATGCTGATTAGTACTCTACTGAATTCTTGAGGGGAACCCTCTGAAGTTCTCTGTGCCCCTGTACTCTTCTCTGATAACTCTAATGACCTTGGTCAGATTTTGGCTTCATATCTTTAACTCGGGGATTCCACCAGCCTCCAGGTCAGTTCCATTACACCATACCAGTGCAGGAGGAGCAGATAAGAGTGACATGGTTTGAGGCCAGGTTTTGGAGACATTTGGTTACTGTATGGAAGAATCAGGACTCAACACTGTAAATACGTTGAAGCTGTATTTCAGGAAAATGTAGGTGACCCAAGCCAGTCCTTGCTGAATATGTTAAGGAATAAGTGGTGAGTAAGGGATGTTTAATTTTCCACTTTTGGCCTTTCTGCCAACCCACAAATCATAGAGGAAGTTGCCCTTCATGACTCAGTATCCTCACCAGTAAGTGAATGGTTCTTCATACTGATCAACTACTGACCCTATTGATGGCCAAAGACAGTTTCTTCAGAAAGGCTCTTGAATAACCAAATGACCATACGGCACAATACAAGAAAGATTCAATCCCCTTGCTTCCAACTGATTTTTCTATAGAGAGGAAGGAACAAGGAGCCAGGGCCTCCATTCTCAGGCATTCACCAAGGTGTGGGTTGAAGGAGAATTATGATGGATACATCATCACTCTTAGGCTTTGCTTCTCCAAGTGTAGTTCCCAGAGTAGCAGCAGCGGCATCACTTGGGAATTTCTTAGAAATGCAGACCATCAAGCAGTTTGTCAAGCTATGCCATTAGAATCTGCACTGTGACAAGAACCCCAGCTGTTTCATGTGCATATTAAAGTTTGAGGAGCACCAGTACCTATAGTCAACAATAATATATTGTACACTTAAAATTTGTTGAGAGTAAGTCTCATGTTAAGTGTTCTTTCCACAGTAAAATAAAATGTAAAAGTTTGAGGAGCACTGTTTTAAATGTGAACAGTGACACGTGCCCTCTAGTGGCTGACCAGGGAGTTTTAAAATGTTTTCTCTTTTTAGGACCTTTGCACAGAACTGCCGAAACATTGAACATTTAAACCTCAATGGGTGCACCAAAATCACTGACAGGTAAGGAATGAGAATGAGTTTGGTGACTGATTGACCATGGGGAGAGTGAGGGGAGAGAAACATGGTTGAAAATATCTTTAGTGTGTCTGCTCTTTTCCAGCACGTGTTATAGCCTTAGCAGATTCTGTTCCAAGCTGAAACATCTGGATCTGACCTCCTGTGTGTCCATTACAAACAGCTCCTTAAAGGGGATCAGGTGAGAGTACCTGTTGTCAGAAGAAACACCTAAACCTATGAGCATCCTGGTGTGTCTAAAACCTTTCTAATGGGGTGCCTGGGTGGCTCAGTTGGTTAAGTGACTGCTTTCGGCTCAGGTCATGATCCTGGAGTCCCTGGATTGAGTCCTGCATCGGGCTCCCTGCTTGGCAGGGAGCCTGCTTCTGCCTCTGACCCTCCCCCCTCTCATGTGCTCTCTCTCTCTCATTCTCTCTGTCTCAAATAAATAAATAAAATCTTTAAAAAAAAAAAATAAATAAAAATAAAACCTTTCTAATGATCCCATTGGAACAAGAAATTGGTGCCTCAGGTCACAGAGGTTTTCTCTCCCCTTAATTGTTTGTGATTTACTAAACTCAGATTTGGTAATGAACTATCTATAGGATGGATTGCACATGTGTGGTCTTGTTTCTTGCTCTCTCAGTGAGGGCTGCCGAAACCTGGAGTACCTGAACCTCTCTTGGTGTGACCAGATCACAAAGGATGGCATTGAGGCACTGGTGCGAGGCTGTCGAGGCCTGAAAGCCCTGCTCCTGAGGGGCTGCACACAGGTACTGAGGGGCTGCTTGAGGTGTGTCTCTCTAACATGAGTTGTGGGCACTTCATTAGAGAACGTGCTGTTGTGTTTTTCTTAGTTCTCCACTATTCCCTCACCTGGTTCCATCCCTCTCTTGTTTTCTTTGTCCACTCAGTTAGAAGATGAAGCTCTGAAACACATTCAGAATTACTGCCATGAGCTTGTGAGCCTCAACTTACAGTCCTGCTCAGTAAGTAACGTGTTTTCCTGGGAGCACCCTCCTGTCCCAAATTCCCTGAGTCTCCTGTGGGCCCCATTTTGAAGCCCCCAGGCAGGAGGGATGGTCGCCACACCCTTTTTTCTTATTCTGCATCCTCATATGATCTGTCGGTTTGCCACAAGATGAAAGGATAACAGTCTAAACAAAGTGGCCAATACAAAGCCACTCACATTTCCTTCTAAAAATAATATAGATTGACGTCTTGGTTTATTTTAAGATATCAGGAATGCTGTGAACTAGTCACTAACCTGAACAAATTCATGTAAGGTCTCAGTGTCTTTTTTTTTTTTTTCTTTAACTTATGAACTGGGGATAATGACACCGCTCACGTCTCAGTGGATAAAATGAAATGATAGATGTGAAAATGCTTTGAAAAATAAAGGATGCATGCAGGAGCAAGGTGTAATTTTCATCATGGCATTAGCATGTGAAAAATTCTGTCCTCACTGCCATTGTCAGTATTGATCCTTAAAGAGAATGCTTGCTATATCCTCCTGGATTTCTCAAGGGGAACATAAATTTTGAGAAATGTAAGAGAAATCCTTGCAGTTGGTATTCAGTGAATGAGTCATATGTCTTTAGAATCCTTGATGGTGGGAGTTAGAACAGAAACTGTCTTCTGGACAGTTTCTGTCTTTCTGGAATTTCTTCTGACTTATGGGCACTGCTCAATATTAGGATCTTGCAGTGTGTGTAGGAGAGCACTGGCAGACGACTTCAAGTAGAATATAAATATGCAAGCCAGGGGCACCTGGGTCTCTCAGTTGGTTGAGTGTCTGACTCTTGGTTTTGGCTCAGGTCCTGATGTCATGGGTCATGATCTTATGGGTTGTGGGATTGGGCCCCCTGCAGGTCTGCTTGAAGCTTCTTTCCCTCTCCCTCCCTCCCTCTCCCTCCCGGCACTCTCTCTCTCCGTCTTTAAAATGGATAAATCTTAAAAAAAAAAAAAAATGCAAGTCATTTATCAGTAATTTAATTAATCTGTAGAAATTCAACCAAAAATTATGATGTCACTTAACCAGGCAAGTCTTATGAGCTCTTTATTTAATCTGATGTTTAACACAAGTTTATGAATTTTTCCTGGAAAAAAAAAATCAAATGAACTCTGGGGAAGGGGATGAAATTTTTGAATTTCACTCTTGGCGGGGCACCTGGGTGGCTCAGTCAGTTGAGCATCTGACTCTTGATTTCAGCTCAGGTCATGATCTCTGGGTCCTGGGATCGAGCCCTGTGTCAGGCTCTGTGCTCAGCAGGGAGTCTGTTTGAGGATTCTCTCCCTCTTATGTCTTCTCTGCACCTCTGCCTACTTGCACACACGCTCTCTAAATAAATAAATAAATAAATAAATAAATAAATAAATAAATAAATCTTTTTAAAAAATTTCATTCTCTGTTAGTAATGCTAGAATAGTTTAAAGCTGTGCAGAGATAACAAATACATGTCAACCCTGTACTTCATCTTGTTTTATTTAAATTATTAGGATAAAATGCTAGTATTTGGCAACCCAACTACCTGACCAGCAGTAGATCCCATTTTTCTGCGGCTCTCATTTCAGTATTGTTGGTGCCTTCTGACATTCCTTCCTGTTCTGGCTTTCCCCAGCACATTACAGATGAAGGCGTGGTGCAGATATGCAGGGGCTGCCATCGGCTACAGGCTCTGTGCCTTTCTGGCTGCAGCAACCTCACAGACGCCTCCCTCACAGCCCTGGCTTTGAACTGCCCGAGACTTCAGTGAGTGCACCATGCTTCTGCTTTGTAGCTCAGAGCTTGGCTGGACTGACCAAGAGGGCTTCCTGCAGGAAGGGAAAGGCTTGCCAGCAGGCCAATAGGTAGTGATGGAGGTGGTGGTGGTTGTGTTATTGTTGGCTTTTGTCACATGGGTTGGGGCAGAACAGTACATAATCCAGTTTATTTAGGGATGTATGGGGGCTACTGAACTGTCCACCACCCCCAGGTGGAACCTGAACTGTAATTTCTTGGTGCACTTGACACATGTGTCCACCTGATTTGCCTCATCCTGTTATAGCTTTGACATCAGAGTGATCTGATAGTGTCAGAATGACAGCCTCACATCCAAATGTCACCAGATTTTCCCCTCAACCAGTTGCTAAATGGACAGAAGGCGGGGAGGGAATTGCAATCACCTTATTTATCACCTTCCCTAGGAGAAGACGTTTTGTTTTAACAAGTAAAGATTGATTTTCTCCAATAATATTGTGAATATTAAAACTTTAATTATGGCAACAAAATACTAATCATAGTTAACATCAGTTGAACTCATTTATGTTCCAGGCTCTGTGTTGGGCAATTTTATAAGTATTATCTCATTTAATCCTCACCACATCTCTAGGAGATATGCACTGTCATTCTCACTTGTTTTGCAGAGGAGGAACTGGGAGTCAAAGAAAATCACATACTCTGTCCTGGGTCATATGATGAGTAGGAAGTCTAAAACTAGAGTTTGAACTTGAGACTTTGTTCAGAACTAGCAATCTTACCCCTGCACAAGAGGCAGGAAAAGGATACTTATTTTATTTTACTTCTCAGTAAAACTGATCCGTTTCTCATGCTTACACCAGTTTCACATCTTTTATGGATTGTCTATTGCCTTCCTGTGCCCATTTTTCTTACTGTTGCATTAAGGATGATTCTAGATAATTTTTTTAAAATTTAATTTAATTTTATTATGTTATGGCTTACACCAGTTTCACATCTTTTATGGATTGTCAATTGCTGTCCTTTGCCCATTTTTCTTACTGTTGCATTAAGGATGAGTCTAGATAATTTTTTTTTAACTTTTATTTTATTTTATTATGTTATGTTAGTCACCATACAAAACTTCATTAGTTTTTGAAAAAGAAAACAAAACAAAACAAAACACATCATTAGTTTCTGATGTAGTGTTCCATGATTCTTTGTTTTTGTATAACACCCAGTGCTCCATGCAATACGTGCCCTCCTTAATACCCATCACCAGGCTAACCCCTCCTCCCACCCCCCTCCCCTCTAAAACCCTCAGTTTGTTTCTCAGAGTCCATAGTCTCTCATGGTTCATCTCTCCCTCCAATTTCCCCCCCTTTATTTTTCCCTTCCTTCTCCTAATGTCCTCCATGCTGTTCCTTGTGTTCCACAAACAAGTGAAACCATATGATAATTGACTTTCTCTGCTTGACTTATTTCACTTAGCATAATCTCCTCCAGTCCCATCCGTGTTGATGTAAAAGTTGGGTATTCATCCTTTCTGATGGCTGAGTAATATTCCATTGTATATATGGACCACGTCTTCTTTATCCATTCATCTGTTGGAGGACATCTCGGCTCCTTCCACAGTTTGGCTGACTTTGCTGCTATGAACATTGGGGTTCATATGGCCCTTCTTTTCACTACATCTGTGTCTTTGGGGTAAATACCCAGTAGTGCAATCCAAAGTCATAGGATTCTAGATAATTTTGATATTTCTGAATAGTAGAAGAATGTGGGTGATCAAAACTGGTCAGAAAGGTGGTCAAAATTACTGCTACAAGGGAGTATTTAACTTTAAAATGTTATTTATTCCTCTGTCCCTATTAAGCATGGGCATTGAGAATTAACTCACATTTTTCATTGGCTGCAAATTTTTTTAAATTCCTTTTAGGGTAACTGGGAATTTCATTAAATGCAGTATATATCAAGATAATTTTGTTGAGTAAAAGTTCATTTTAATTGTGTTTAAGAGTCAACAAATACTGGAATAATATTTAAAAACAACAGCAGCAACAATGTCCTGGAATTGTGGGAAGATTCCTGGGTTCGCCCCCTGAGTTTGGGCTGGAACTGTCAGACTTAGGGCAGGCCACACTTCTCCCTAAGCCTCCTTTCCCTCATCTATCCAGGGGAATGGCATTTGCATTTACAGTCCTCAGGACTATTCCAGAAGCAGAGGTGTGTCCGAAGGCAGAATAAACTCAATAGTGTGAATCATAAAGTGTGTGTTTCTGTTGTTAACCAGTCACTACCTTTTCCTCCCACACACTCTCTATCCCAGGATTTTGGAGGCTGCGCGGTGTTCCCATTTGACTGATGCAGGCTTTACACTTTTAGCTCGGGTAAGCCAGAGGTTTCAAAAAATAAAACCAAACTATAATTCACCTCCCTCATTTCAAAATAACTTTCTGTGGTTTTGGAGTGTGCAAAAATGTGTGTACCTTCAGAAAGGACAGGTACCAAGTTGGATAGAGTCCTCAGTACATTTTCCCATTTTCCCCAGAAAGCGAAAGTGGTCCTGTAGGGGGTTCTGGAGCAGGTCTAGACCTCACTCTCATTTGGTCGGGTGGGGCCACAGCAAGAGGAATGTCCTCCCTGGCAGGACATGCCCTTCCTCATACAAATGCTGACTCAGTCTCTCAGTGGCCTCCCCTAACTGAGCTGTGCTCTCCCTCTGCTCCTTCTTCCACATCACCCTGCAGACGCTGACCATCATAGGGGTCCCTCTGGCCTACAGCTGGGAACCCATGACTTTCTAGGGATGGTGATACACTCTTCCTCCTACCCCAACCCTCACCTGTCCAAACTGCCTGAGCACCCCACCCCCATGCCTTCCTGAGCCTATTCTATGGCTAAAATTTACAGGATGATATCCATAGTCACTGGGAAGGTGGAGGCCACTAATCTTTCCAGGTGAGAGAAGGAAATGTAGCTCCAGGCAGCCACATTCCCATTTCCAAAAGGAATGTGATTCAAAAAGCACCTGCTCAGAAGTGCTGGCTCATTGGGTCACTTTAGGAATAGGACACACTCCTTAATGGAAGAGAAACAAGGATACTGGGCCAGTACTCAGAGGGACACGGCAAGCCACCAGTGTTGCCCTGACCACTGACCACATGGTGTGTGGGGGGGGTCTTACGGACTTTTCCAGAATTGCCATGACCTGGAGAAGATGGATCTTGAAGAATGCATCCTGGTAAGTAGACTCCTGACAAGCCCTGCAGGGCCGCCCCTCAGTCCTGAGAGGCAACCAGGCATAGCCAGAGACCCCAGCTGGCTGTTGTGTGGACCCTCCTCGCCCCAGCATGTCAGGAATTGGGAACCCAATAAGGACCATGGCAGTGGGATGCGAACTTTGGGCTGTACTCAGCCATCAGAGCTACAGCTGAGAAGTTCAGGGTAGCTCCATTTTTTGCCAAACATTAAAAAGAAAGTCTTTCACAGAACTGAAGGGAGAAATAAGTTTGCATGTCCAGTGATGAGGTGACTACAGAGGAGAATCCTGGGGGACCCTCCTTACCAACTCCTTTTTCCCCTGTCCCTGGGCCCCCTTGGGGCACCAGAGGAGAGACCAAAGAACAGCTTTGTGTCTGCAGGATTTGAGGTTGTTGGTGAAGAGAGGGGCTCCCAGCCTGAGTGTGCTTGAGATGAGTTTTTAATTCTGTTTTACACCTTTTGATTCTCATGTTCAGGAGAAACCAAAATTAGGTATTAAGTTCTGGTGTGGAAGTCACATTGACACAGCTTGTTTCTCTCCAGATCACCGACAGCACACTCATCCAGCTCTCCGTCCACTGTCCTAAACTGCAAGCCCTGGTGAGTCTGAGTTTTTCGTGACATTCTTCACCTCTTAGGGAGAAAGAACTCTCCCACCACAGCAAGAATCTGTCTGGTTTTCCTTTCTGTAAAGGTGTCATCATTCTTGGTTTCAAAGATCTATTAGTTGGGCTAACTTGGGAGGCAGATTATCTAAACGTTACTGCTTTCGTTTTAGGATGTGAACCTATAATAGAGACCCATGTCCTTACTACTCCGTTCATGTTCAGGGAGAGTGAAACTTAGCATGTTACAATGATAGAATCTAGAAAAAGATTGAGGCCATCCTTGTGTCATATTTCATTCCATACCTGCTCATATATATCTATGGGGAGAGGAATTAAAATACATTGAAAGAGAGGAGGGGGGAAAAATGGCGGAGGAGTAGGGGACCCTATTTCAGCTGGTCCCCGGAATTGAGCTGGATATCCACCAGACCACTCTGAGCACCCACGAAACCAGCCTGAGATGTAATAAGATCTGGATCTCTACAAACAGAATATCGTAGGCGGTTGGTTTTGAGGTACGAAGTGGAGAGCTGTGATTCCGCAGGCAGATATCGGAGGATAAACGGCAGCGGGAGGGTGCTTGGCTGTGGGGATCCTACACCGCTGGTGAGCGACAGCCTTGCATGCTGCGGATGGGCACAGACTCGCAGACCGGTAGCGGCAGGGAAAGGACTCTAGGGCAGCCCTTGGGACGAAAACCCTGAGCGGCAGGGTTGCACCTGCGAACTGCAGCCCCCGGGGCGGAATCCCTGAGCGTCGGGGTCGCGTGCGTGTGAATTGGGAGCAGCTGGTGATTTTAGAAGCACAAAGGGCAGAGACGTGCCCTGACCTGGAGGCAGGTCTGGGAGCACTGTGGAGGGGCACACAACCCAGGCCGCTGCAGTTTATAGCAGCATGGACAGAAACGGAGACGGTGTGGCCTGGAGAGCTCACTGAAGAACAGACTGAGGTCTCTGCTGTAAGGCAGAGGGTTGGAAATGGTCTCTTCTGCTCTGACTCGTGGAAGAGATGTGGAAAGGCGCCAGAGAACAAACGCCCCAAGACTGATTCCCACTGAGCCCATCCCCCGCCACAGGGGCGCAGGGCAACTCCACCTAAACAGGGTTGCCTGAGTAACAGCGCGGCAGGCCCTCCTGCAGAAGACAGGCGGGGAAAACAAGAGGCCAGCAACCCTAAGGTCCCAAGAAAACAGGTGCATCTTGCTTGGGTTCTGGTCAATAATTTGGACTCTATACATTCCCTCAAACACCCATCAACAGAATGACTAGGAGGAGGAGCCCCCAAAACAGAAAAGACTCAGAGATTATGACTTATGCTGCAGATTTACAAATGGATGCAGATATAACCAAGATGTCGGAGATGGAATTCAGGCTAGCAATTGTGAAGACAATGGCTAGAATGGAGATATCAATTAATGGCAGCATAGAGTCTCTAAGGGCAGAAATAAAAGGTGAATTGGCAGAACTTAAAAATGCTATGAATGAGATCCAATCCAATCTAGTTAATCTAACAGGTAGGGTAACTGAGACAGAAGAGAGAATAAGCGACCTGGAAGACAATATAACAGATAAAAAGGGAAAAGAGGAGGCCAGGGAAAAACAACTCAGATTCCATGAAAATAGAATCAGAGAAATAAGTGACACCATGAAGCGTTCCAATGTCAGAATACTTGGAATCCCAGAGGGAGTGGAGAGAGAGAGGGCTAGAAGATGTATTTGAGCAATTCGTAGCTGAGAACTTCCCTAATCTGGGGAATGAAACAAACATTCGAGTCCTAGAGGCAGAGAGGACCCCTCCTAAGATCAAGGAAAACAGGCCAACACCCCGGCATGTAATAGTAAAACTTGCAAATCTTAGAACCAAGGAAACAATCTTAAGGGCAGTTAGGGGGAAGAGATTCCTTATGTACAGAGGGAGGAACATCAGAATAACGTCAGACCTCTCCACAGAGACCTGGCAAGCCAGAAAGGCCTGGCAAGACATATTCAGGGTACTAAATGAGAAGAACATGCAGCCAAGAATACTTTATCCGGCAAGGCTTTCATTTAGAATGGATGGAGAGATGCAGAGCTTCCACGACTGGCAGAAGTTGAAAGAATATGTGACCACTAATCCGGCCCTGCAAGAACTATTAAGGGAGGTTCTATAAAAGGAGAAAGACCCCAAGAGTGATCTACAACAGAAATTTACAGGGACAATCTATAAAAACAACGTCTTCACAGGCAACATGATGACAATTAATTCATATCTCTCAATAATCACTTTCAACGTGAATGGCCTAAACGCTCCCATAAAATGGCACAGGGTTGCAGATTGGATAAAAAGACAGGACCCATCCATATGCTGCCTACAAGAGACTAATTTTGAACCTAGAGATACATCCAGACTGAAAGTGAAGGGATGGAGATCCATCTTCCATGCCAGCGGACCTCAAAAGAAAGCTGGGGTAGCAATTCTTATATCAAACAAATTAGATTTTAAACTAAAGTCTGTAATAAGAGACACAGAAGGACACTATATCATTCTTAAAGGGTCTATCCAACAAGAAGATCTAACAATTGTAAATATCTATGCCCCCAACATGGGAGCAGCCATCTACATAAGCCAACTGTTAACCAAAATAAAGAGTCATATTGATAACGTTAATTGTAGGAGACCTCAATACTCCACTCTCAGCAGTGGACAGATCATCTAAGCAGAAAATCAACAAGGAAACAAGAGCTTTGAATGATACACTGGACCAGATGGACCTCATAGATATTTACAGAACATTCCACCCTAAAAAAACAGAATACTCATTCTTCTCGACGGCACATGGAACTTTCTCCAGAATAGACCATATACTGGGTCACAAATCAGGTCTCAACCGATACCAAAAGATTGAGATTATTCCCTGCATATTCTCAGACTGCAATGCTCTAAAACTGGAACTCAATCACAAGAAAAAATTAGGCAGAAATTGAAACACTTGGAAGCTAAAGGCCACTCTGCTCAAGAATGTTTGGGTCAACCAGGAAATCAAAGAAGAACTTAAACAATTCATGGAAATCAATGAGAATGAAAACACATCGGTCCAAAACCTATGGGATACTGCAAAGGCGGTCCTAAGGGGGAAATACATAGCCATCCAAGCCTCACTCAAAAAAATAGAAAAATCCCGAATTCACCAACTAACTCTACACCTTAAAGAACTAGAGAAAAAGCAACAAACGATGCCTAAGCCACACATTAGAAGAGAAATAATTAAAATTAGAGCAGAAATCAATGAACTAGAAACCAGAAACACAGTAGATCAGATCAACGAAACCAGAAGTTGGTTCTTTGAAAGAATTAATAAGATTGATAAACCCCTGGCCAGACTTATCCAAAAGAAAAGAGAAAGGACCCAAATTAATAAAATTATGAATGAAAGGGGAGAGATCACCACTAACACCAAAGAAATAGAAACAATTATTAGAAATTATTACCAACAACTATATGCCAATAAACTGAGCAATCTGGATGAAATGGAGGCCTTCCTGGAAACCTATAAGCTGCCAAGACTGAAACAGGAAGAAATTGACAACCTGAATAGGCCAATAACCAGGAACGAGATTGAAGCAGTGATCAAAAACCTCCCAAAAAACAAGAGTCCAGGGCCTGATGGATTCCCTGGGAAATTCTACCAAACATTCAAAGAAGAAATAATACCTATTCTCCTGAAGCTGTTTCAAAAAACAGAAACAGAAGGAAAATTCCAAACTCATTCTATGAGGCCAGCATTACCTTAATCCCCAAACCAGGCAAAGACCCCATCAAAAAGGAGAATTTCAGACCAATATCCCTGATGAATATGGATTCCAAAATCCTCAACAAAATCCTAGCTGATAGGATCCAACAATACATTAAAAGGATCATCCACCATGACCAAGTGGGATTTATCCCCGGGATACAAGGGTGGTTCAACATTCACAAATCAATCAATGTGATAGAACACATTAATAAGAGGAGGGAGAAGAACCCATATGGTCCTCTCAGTTGATGCAGAAAAAGCATTTGACAAAATACAACATCATTTCCTGATTAAAACTCTACAGAGTATAGGGATAGAGGGAACATTCCTCAAGTTCATAAAACCCATCTATGAAAAACCCACAGTGAATATCATCCTCAATGGGGAAAAGCTGAGAGCCTTTCCCTTAAGATCAGGAACACATCAAGGATGCCCACTCTCACCACTATTGTTCAACATAGTACTAGAAGTCCTAGAAACAGCAATCAGACAACAAAAAGAACTAAAAGGTATTCAAATTGGCAAAGAAGCAGTCAAACTCTCTCTTTTCGCAGATGACGTGATACTTTATGTGGAAAACCCAAAAGACTCCACCCCCAGATTACTAGAACTCATCCAGTAATTCAGTAATGTGGCAGGATCCAAAATCAATGCACAGAAATCAGTTGCTTTCTTATATACTAACAACACAACGGTAGAAAGAGAAATTAGACGATTCCATTAACAATAGCACCAAAACCCATAAGATACCTCGGAATAAACCTAACCAAAGAGGTAAAGGATCTATACTCTAGGAACTACAAAACACTCATGAAAGAAATTGAAGAAGACACAAAAAGATGGAAAAATATTCCATGCTCATGGATCGGAAGAATAAACATTGTTAAAATGTCTGTGCTGCCCAGAGCAATCTATACCTTCAGTGCCATCCCGATCAAAATTCCAATGACATTTTTCAAAGTGCTGGAACAAACAATCCTAAAACGTGTATGGAATCAGAAAAGACCCCGAATTGCCAAGGAAGTGTTGATATAGAAAAACAAAGTCGGGGGCATCACGTTGCCTGATTTCAAGCTATATTACAAAGCTGTGATCACCAAGACAGCATGGTACTGGCACAAAAACAGACATATAGACCAATGGAACAGAAGAGAGAACCCAGATATGGACCCTCAACTCTATGGTCAAATAATCTTTGACAAAACAGGAAAAAACATGCA